GTGTGTGTGTGTGTGTGTGTGTGTGTGTGTGCAGCTTTCTATCTATAATGTGGTCAATACCATTCAGCTCCACACGGCTCCAAGTCTTCTGGGGTGTCCTCATGCTTTTAAAATGCTTGAAGCTCTGAAAAGGGAAGAAAAAAGAAGGATAAAAAAAGAGAGCGATGGTTATAAAACAAACTTTAAAAGCAGAAGAGAACCCCCCCCCCCCCCCCATTCAAAGGGAGAACACTTCATTTGTTCTTGCAGACCTCTTCAGATTTTGGTTTTCATAACAATTGCCGGCTTCTGTGAGCGTTTTAGGCTTGTGAAGTTTAAAAACAGGGACCAATGTAGCTCCAATGCAATAGCGAAAAGTGGGAATTATCTTGAATTATAAATAAATAGCGAAGCAGAGGAGCACGCTGACGGAATATTGTCTTTGAACACCAACAAACATTTGTTTCCATGGGATGATAAAAAAGACTGACTGCTCCACATTTTCCTTAAATGTGTGAAGCTGCCGTATTAGATTCTTCTTTACTTTGTTTAAAACTTTAATAATAAAAAAAAGGTTGCTTTTGATCTCTTCTGCTGAGGGAAAAGTTCTTCTGGAATACTTGACAGCAGCCCCTCCAGAGGCTGGAAACCTTTATGGTTGGTAGTTGCACTCTGTGAATTAAGTTGAGTGCAAAACGAGCTGCTTTGTAAAGTTAACAACAAGCCAAAAAAAGGCATCTATTTTTTATACACGACTCTTCCAGCCAGCAAACTCCCATGATTCACTTGATAAGCAGCACATCAAGAGAAACAGGAGTACGCTGCATAAACAGAGCCACCCCGAGGATCTGGTAGTTTTTAGCAGAATTTCACATCGAGGCCAATCATGTTTGGTCTTTGTTTATTTAACAACCATTATTTTACATGTGCAAATTTTCTAAATAAACCAGATAATTACTATTTTATCCGTTATATGAAGGGCTGTGGGCCTAAAACTGTTGTGCTGCTGTTCATAGCTTGATATTTCGAAATAAATGAGCAATAGATGGAAATTAAATCACAAGGTTAAGTTAGATTCTCTCTGTTTTTTTTTTCTTTCAGGAAATAGTTAAAAGAAAAAAAATTTGCCCAAATTCTGCCTTTGGTTTTACATTGATGTTGGTAAAAAATACAAATGTAACACTTTACATGTTGCAGATACTGGTGGAGTTTTTAAGTGAACTGGTGACTGCTGGATATGGGCACCAGTGACCCTAGAAAAGGAATAAACAGGTATAGATAATGGAAGGACGGATGGTGTCTTTTCTGCTGGGTTTCGGCCGTGTGCATGACAACAGCTGCTGTTTTCTCTGACGCTGAAGCTTTTTGAATCCAGGTCTTAGAGTGGAGGGTTTTAGAGTCTCCAGGCATCTGGGTGAAATTGTGTGTGCCAGCTAGGGACCTGGCAGGGAAACTACAGTGTCAACGAGCATTATCGTGTCAACGTAGGGTTTTTTTTCTCCACAATCAGCGATGGAAAAATACTATCATTTCCAGAGATTGTTCACTTGCAAACAGGGCCTAAATTTAGGCGCCTTAGAGCTTCTTTAACCAAGAAACCCTCACAAACCTTTTGAAACATTAGGATGGTCCCTCGTGAATACCACTCAGAATTTGTTGTCGCAGCTCCGTGAAATAGTAGCTTTAGCTCTTGGATTGGGCCAACTCTGTAAATAGGTTTTATCTTCAGCCTTGGAGAAAATATTTACCCAAGATTTTTCCATCTTTAGTGCAGAAATACACTAAAGTAGAAAAGTTGACTGCAGACAGTGGAAACTTTATGGTTAGTTTTGTATCTTATTTTTAGCCTTTGTTTGACCTTTTTCTCCCCTCTCATTGCCATTCAAAGACTGCAGGTTTGATTGAAGGTAATGATATTCTCTTGCTTCCAGGAGGAAGGTGGTGCTAAGACCTCGTCGAGGCACCGTCAGCACAAACACTGTGCATGCTGATTCAAGCAGTGCTGTAAACTCCCTCGGCGCCCGGGTCTTCTTCGCGCTCTCCAAGGCTGGGACTTAATATAAAGCTGTTTATATAGCCAGTCAGCTAAAACCCTACCCAACTACAGGTCCCAGTGAAGTGCCAGCTGAATTACAACGATGGCACAGCATCCCGACTTCTGAACCTCCAACCTCTACAGTTTGTTTGTGGCTCTGCCAGCTCTCATCCATCAGTTCCCATTTCCCTCCTGTCAGCCTCTTTTTAAGTCTCCATCTGTCCATGTGTGTTTGTTTGTCTCTGTCTCCGGTGTCCGTTCTCTCTGCCTTCTGTATCTTTGTGCAAATATCCCTCAAAAACTTCAGCTTTGCCTGCTTTCTCTCCGTCGCCTGCCTCCATGTTTCCCTTGGTATGAGTCAAGAGTGACGAACAGTGGGTTTACCGCTGTTCGATCTCTCCTGGCAGGGCCGGCGAGCTGCGACAGATCGATGACAAAGCCTGTCAGTGCGGCTCACTGTTACTCAGGGCGAGATTGCATCTGAAAGCCCGTCGACCACGTGGTCGATGAATTAAAGAAGCGGTCGGCCAAGATTGATCAGAGCGGCAAACAACCATTGACATCTTCCTTTTTTATGAGAGGAAAGAGTGATTGTTGAGAGGTTATCGCTGCCTGGATGTAATTATGCTGATCTGCTTGATCTGATCTCATTTATTTAATTACTGTCACCTCCACACCTGAAAATCTGGAGAAATGACATCAAACTGATGCTGTTCTTTAAAGTTTTTCTCGATGTTACAAAAGCAACTTGAAGAGATTTGTTTTGTTCTGCTCTTTGTCTCCATTTTCTACTTCTTAATAATTTTATGATTCTGTCTCTGTCTGCCTGTTCTTGACCCAGTTCTTGCTCCTGTCTGCCTTGCCCTGCTCATTGCCTCTGCCCCTCCCGTCACAGAAACCCTAATCAACTGATTCATGTCACCTGTTCCTGCCAGTATTTATCCCAGTTCCAGCCTCCAGCCCATTGCCAGATTTTCATCAGCTCGTCTATGATCTTCCAGCGTTCTTGTTCCTTGTCCTGCTCTTGCCTCATGTCCCCGACCCTGCTCATGTCTCCTGGTTTAACGTCTCCTGCCTCAGCCCTTGTCGGATCCTGCCTGTCATCTGCTCTCACGGTAACGACCTTGTTTCTGTCTCTTGGATTATTGCCTCTCGCCTTTCCCCTGCACGGTACCTCGCCACATCGGACTACCTGGATCTCGACCACGGAACGCATCTCTGGACCAACGGCTCAGCCTGCCCCCTCAAACCTGGTAACAATCTCTGACCACCCGTGTATGACCCTGGATTTGTTGTTGACATTGAGTAAACCCCACAGCAGCATTACCTCCACTAACAACACCACCCGGAACCAAAACACCGTGGCTGTTTCAACCCGGACCCAGTCCCTCCTGAGAAGGTTGGTGTATTATATTATTTTCTTTAATAATATAATCTTGTTGTGCCAACCTAACTTCCCATCTCTGTGTGCAGACCTGCTGCTGCCGGAATCCCGTTCTCGACCTCCAATTGCAAATTCTAACAATAAACTTGTTAAACCTTTATCTGTGTTCGGAACTAATTCAGAGCTCACTCACCCGATCATAACAATAATGGTCGGGTCTTGGAGGCTTTATGGACAAAACGTCCATGAATTTTTGGGGGATATGTTTAGTACAGCTTTGACAACGTATACATGAATTTAAAATATACTTAGCACAAAAGTGGGTGCAAAGTGGGGGGGCAAGGTGCGCAGCGCTGCGCTGCGGCTTCTGAATAAATGAAAATGATTTAACACAGTAGTTTATACTTTTAGCAGCTCTTTTTTATTCCACAGCTGACCTGCTAAAAATGACTGATTTTCTTTTCTGGATCTCTGACAGACGGACTTCAATCTCTGAACTCGTAAAGTTTTTCTTTTAGTTTTCACTGTCATTTTCATGAATGGACACTTCCTTGTATCTGAGGCAGGAATCATAGCCTTATATGGTGTTTTTGGGGTGGTAATTATGCTAAACTCCTCTCGCGTGCACGAGCAGCTGGATACGAACAGGTGGAATTTATGCAGCTCATTTACACACTTTTCCTGAAGATAGAAGAGTTTGTTGAATCTAACGTGACATGTTCGTACGAACCCTTTGTACGAACAAAAGTAAGAGAAATTTAGGATAAGAATACGAACATGTTCTTGCATGAGGCCCATTGCTTCTTGGCAATAAATCTTATACCATACAAAAGCCTCCTAATTTTCCTTTTAAATGTTGCCACATTTGTAAGGAACTTGTGGGATAAACAGTAGAGCTTTGTATGTGGGTTGCACACATAAAAAAAGCCAAATCTTTTCTTAAAAACAGCTTATTTTGCTGTTGCTATTGACACTTGTTTTTCAGATTAATAACATGACAAAATATATTTCTCCAGCTTGAATATTTTGTCTGTTTGATTTTATGTCATATTGACCTTCTGATAGTTTCCTGTGTCCCTTCTTCCAGCTCCACACACCTGTGTTTCATCAGCAATCACTTCATCTTCTACATTTACCTCCTGGGTTTCTGCAAATTCCGGGTCAAATCTTCTGTTGATCCAGTCAGCTGACTGAATTTAAAACCTTTGAGGTAGGTGATAATGGGTGAGAATTTGCGCTTAGTTTTATTAAATAACAAAGAATTCATCCTGTATAAGTCAAACAACCTTTGGCTAAGGCTCTAAGAGGCTCTAAGAGGTTCTAAAAAGCTTTAAGTAGTTCAAGGTCTTTCATGGTTTAACCAATTCTCTAAATTTTCATTGCTGTGTATAAATCTTTGTATTCGTATCATGATTTTTTTACGAGTGAAAATTAAAATTTTAAAACCGAAGCAGAACCGTTCCACTGCAGAAAGTCTCCATTGGGTTTCTTTTCTCCCCGATCTGTGGTCTTTCTGGGACCTACCGCCGACTTTAAATACCATAAATGCTGAAATGTTTATAGCACAGCTGCAAAGATCTGCTACAGCAACATGAAAAGAAAAATTCAACCCCCCTAGTCAGGCTCATTTTCACTCAAACTAAATTGGAAATCACATGAAGTGTTTAAAATATGCAGTTTAAACAGTATAAATTGAGCTACTGCTGATTTAAATCAGTCGCAGCAGTTAAAAAAAAGGAAACACATATGCAGAAAATTTATTCGATCGCTTAATTAAAAACCACACTGACCCTTCAGATGATGCACTCCTCCTTGCTTGTCTGTTCTGACCAGCAGGAGGTTCTGACCCAGAATATAAACTGACACAATGAGCTCAAAAATTAAACAAAAGTCTGACTTGGCAGCCAACTAAACAAAACAGAAAACAACATTCTGGGTCACTTTTGCCTGCAGTGTGAACGTACTGGGAGACAAACACAAAGAAAATACAGAAAATAAAAATTAAATACTGATCCTGACACTGTCACACTCATTTTCTCACATGTAGTCTCCCACCCTGTTAATTGTTTACTTTACATCATCATTCCCCCCACCCTCTGTAACAGTGTCGTTATGCAGAGAGCAGAGAGCTCCACAAACAAAATCATAATCTGTACCACCCCTACAGATGGCTGAATACAAGTCCCTGTCAGTTTATAGCTATGTGGTGTAGCTTTCTATTTTACTGCCTCACTCATTCAAACAGCAGTAGCAGCAAAGAGAATAAAATGAATTCTCTTTCTATGCGGAGCTGCTTTAGACTCGATCAGTTTGCTGGTGCAGAAAGAAGCAGCAAGCTGTGCTCCAGCTCAGGGATCCACTTAGGCACCACTTCAGATCAGGTCAGCTGAAAAGAGAATGTGCCCGAGAGTTATTAATAAATGTTTCCATTAGGTTTGTCAGTGTCCCGCTGCGTAAAGGTTGGTTTCAGATTATTAATGACAGCACGGAAGGATGCATGACTGAGGAGAACCTGCAGTGGAACCTGATGAAAGTAGATCTAAATGCATGTTGCTGGTTGCCTGGCTTGTTAGCGTTGGCAACAAAGATCTCATACATACCAAGCTTGGTCATCCATTAAAGGGATCCATGATTAGTTGTAACATTAGACTTTATTTGATAAACATATATTTTAACTGTAAAATAAAGACTGTAAAAATACTGTAGGTTGTTTAGTTTTGTAAATTTTTAAAACAAGATTTTAACACGGACGGAACTATTTTATTTATACACAAAGCATTCTGGGTAAATGATGACATGGATAGGTCCTCGATGTGAGCGAGATATATCCACCCTAAGGTTAATCTTGGACAATATCTGACAATCAACTCTTTTAAATGAAAAAGGGCTACAACTAATGAGTATTTTAATAATCAATTAATCTGTCGATTATTTTTTCGATTAACCGATTAATCAGCCAAATCATTACAATGCTTAATTACATTAATATGAGTAGATAAAAATTTATTTCATTCCTGTATAAATTAGGGATGCAAGTTATTGATTAATGAATTAATCTGAAGTTGATTTAGCTTATAGAATGACTAATAATTAATTGATAAGCAGCCATTTTCTTAAAAACTGGAGTTTTCTGTTATCAAGAGGGTCTTTCCATAAAATTAAGGATTTTTTTATAATCTCCTATATTAAAAAACAGAAGCACATAATAACTATTTTAACAATTTATTTTGCCAGTTGTATTAAATACCGACTGAAAAAAATGTGTATTTCTCATACATGAAACATAACAGAAATTTAATAGGTTGCTGAATGAGGAAAATAGATTAAAATAATAAAATATGATTTTTAGATGTAAAACTACGTTGTGTTTTTTGAGTCACTGAACCTTCATCTCAGAGATCCATCATTTTGTTCTCTTAGTTCTGTTTTGCAGACCAGAGTTTAAGGTGTTCTATTTTTTTAAACCACTCTGCAGGTAGTCACTTTGTTGCCTGGTAACCACACTAAAATTTCTGAATGTTATGATGCCAGCTGTTACTGAAGAAATGCAACGATGTGCAAAAATTTTAAACCATCTCTGATTCCTTTATTCTTTGCTTCCAAGGAGACAAACTCTTTTTATCATTTTTTAAAGAGGTTGTGCTGAACACCTCACCAGGTTTTCTGGAGGTCTTTTAATTAATTTATTTATTTATTGTTACTTTGCTCTGAGTATGTGCATTGAATGACAAAGGCACAACCATGCCAAGTTGTAGCTCAATATCTGTCTAATTTAGCTGCGGTGGCCTTTTTGAATCCAGTTGACTCCAGAAGAATGTCATTGTAAATGTAGCCAGTACTTTCCGCACGAGATATTTTGCTAACAAACAGACAAAGGGAGTGTGATCCTCACATATTTGGTATTGTTACCGTCAAGTGTTTTCCTTTACCTGCATTTGTCAAACTAATCTAATCACCTGCTGGCTAATGTTTTGTATCAAACACAGGCACATCGTTTGTCATTTAGTTCATTTCAGGTCTCACAGGGAAAGTCGATACAAACATTTTCCCAAATGTCAAACTGGTTCTTCTTCTTCTATTACAGATGGCTCTCACTGACAGGATTTACAGCCGGAAGGCTGCGATTAAACTTAATTTACAAATCCAGCTGATCTCTCAGAGAGATGACTCTAAATCTTCTGAGACTTCAGTCAGCAGTTATGTGTTGCAGCTTGAAGACATCAGTCGACGAATGGAGTAGTTTTTATCCAAACATTTATTTTCTTTTAGCTCCACACAGAATATAAACTGGCTCCACACACTCACGGTGCTTCTGCTGCGGTCAGAGTCCGGGTGTAAAGTAACGTTCAAGAGACGCCCGTTTCAGAACCTTTCCACATGGTGCATTCAGTGA